GCACGCGAGAGGAGATCCGAACTGGAAAGATTCGGCAGTACAAAGCGCGTATGTGCATGGTCGCATACGAGGAGGAACAGATGAAGACGATCATTGTGGATGATCATGTCCTCATCTGGTACAAGAACCGCTTTTACAGAGCCAACCAGTTCGCGGCCGCCTATGCCTTGATCCCGGTGGCCGAGCGTTTTGAGGTCCTGAGCGTCGTCAACACGACGTTCCAATCCCTTGCGCTGTCCAAGCAGGATGTGTATGCCGACATTCTCAGCTATGTCGACGACATCTTGCGCCCCCTCACGGAGGCAAAGGACACGGAAGGCGGAAGCCGACCCCTACCTGCAACGAGGCAGCAGAACCCAGATGTTACCAGGTCCTCGCGTCCTGGCTATGGTTCTCATCAGGGGCCCACTCACGGCTACAGTCAGCAGGAATGGAATGACTACTACAATCAGTGGACTGACCAGGAGTGGGAAGATTGGCGCCGTCGAAATCAAGGCCACCAATACCGGGATCGACGTTGGTCGGGCTATCGCTGAGGCACCGCGGAGGGGAACCTCTCGCCTGGTGGATTCATTTTCATCTGAGGCGGGGTAATTTCCTTTCAATGAACGGTGTCGCACAGCGGAAGCTGTTGCCTTTTTCGGATTTAATTCGGTTAGGCGACTAGCTTCATTTTTGCACAGGTGGGTGAGCGATTCCACCATCATTTCCAACACAAGTGTGCTAAGTCGGAATTTTTGCCAATCTAGTCAAGTTCACAAAAGTTTCATTAACGCTTTGAATGCATATAATTTGAAGCAGGCATTTGGCACTCATCTCATTCTTGCCATGATTCCTTCTTGCATAGCACACGGCTGGTAGTTGCATGAACCGCAGAGCGGAAGCTCTTGCCTTGCGAAGTTAAGGCATCTTTGAAGCATTTCTGAAAGCTTCCCTGCGGGTTCACATCAAAATTGAATTCAGCTTTTGCCATAATTCAAATCGCTTTGCTTTGGCAAGCTCCTGTGCGACCACAAGAACTTTTGTTGCCGCGTGGAAACGCTGGCCTAGTATTGGGCCAAGACCTTTTCTTTCCACCTTGCATGTTCGACCACAAGCCCAGTCGAGCCTAAAATGAAGCTGAATGCATCCGACCGAATTGATGTTCACTGCATCCGTTGGCCTTTGTACGTGAAGTAGAGCCGAACGATATGCATTGTCACTTTTGCTCATGTTTGTCAACTGTTTGCACACCTGAGGTGATGACGAAAGTACTATGGAAGGTTAGGCTGCGCTCCGGGGGGGTTTTGTTCTTTGGGTTTGTTGTTTATATTATTAATGGCATCCCTTAACTCTGTAGTGCATCCCTTAATTTGCAGCTTCACTTCCTGTGCGGTAATTACACTGCACGGGGGGTGTTGATGCACAGTAGTACTCTATGTATATAGCATTTCACCTCTTCTACTTGTGTGCATATGGCTCAAGAAAATACGCAGTGTGTTTTGCGGTTGTTCCCGGCTTTTAACTGTTAACTACAGATAGGATAGGTAGTTAGTTAGGTTATTGTAAGTTATACCTTGTAACAACCCCAGTTGTAACCGGACTGACCCGACTTACCCTACATTACCGGGGTTTCGATCCACTTACTGACTCGTGTGACATTAAGTATCATCATTCACTATCATTGTTCAGTATTGAGTATCATTAGGATTATCAAATCATCATTATTCATGGCTCATGATTCATCATTCACCATTCTGACATTTCTGTTGTCTGAGCCGTCCATGGAATGGGGAGCGTAAGGTCTTTTTTTGTGCTAAAGGTTTTGTGATCCAATCCCGCAAAAAGGATACTAATAACGACAATAATCTACGCATATAGTAAAAAAAGATAGCATTCAATAACGATATCCACCTGCAACTTCAAAAAATAAAACTCGGCATGAACATCATGAACATTGACATCAGGGATTCCAGGCCTTTGACCCTAACCAACTCGTCTCTCAGCGTTGCCCCAACTTTTTTTCTCGGTCAATGATTGCCACACGGGGTTGGAGAATTTCCCATGTGTTCTCCTCAAAATCGGAACCAAAGAATAGAGAAAACAATCATTGTTTCAATTTGTTTCTTGGGAATTTGACGATTTGATGGGGGTGGCAACTGTGAAACTGGAGATGAAGGATGAAGATGATGAAGGTGAAGGATGATGAAGGATCAATCAGAGAATTGGTGGCTGAGGTCCTCCCAACCATCCTTCAGCCCATCTGCTCCGCGACCTGCCCCGCGGGGACCCCCTCGGTCGCCAGGTGGGGATTACCAGTTTGCTATGGAAAATGGCCCATGTAGCTTGATGATTTACGCAGATTATATATATTATTTTGATGGTGCCTTTGAGTAGCTGGAAAAGAGTACCGGAGGGAATATCTGGATGACCTAACAGCGTTACGCGAAGACCTCACTATAAATGATGCTACATTTCGATATCTGAGAAGGGTAGGCCGGCCTCGTAAAGAGTGGATACCTGAAGTTTTTTCTTTAGCACTTTCCTTTACAGGTAGTACTCGCAATCTGTTATTTTTTGTCCAGAATGAAAAGCAATGGCGCCAACTGGTTTGGAACCAATGAATCGATTGGGGCCAGTCAGGCTGCCTTGTAGCACAGTGCCTTTAAGTTTTTAGTCTGCATGTTGTGTGCATATGTATGGAGTTGGAGCTGCCCACGCGCCGCGCGGCGCACGGCTTGACAGACAGACAGATGATGGTTAGTAACGGGAATCAACCCCCAAATGGTCTTACTGCAGATTGGTAAACCCACCCATGATCCCCAAGTAGGTGGATAAGACCCGCTTGTTTAAGATTAGTCATTGGCCATGGAGTGCTTAAATCCTCAATGTGCTTGGCTTGAATGCCAATTTTTTGGTAGTCTGGTCCCAGTCCTAGTCGTGATCATTTCTCCAGGAAGCGTTCGAAGGAAATGGATCCATTATTTCACAGTTATTATTATTATTTTTTCTTTGGTGGGGGGGGGGGCGGTATATTTCCTTGTTTCTTCATTCCAAATTTTGTAGTAGTGCTCGTAGTTGTAGTAGTAGTCGTAGTCGTCGTCGTCGTCGTCATCGTTGTAGTAGTAGTACTTAGACGCTCCAACGTTGCACAAAGGACAACAGATCCAACAGGAGACATATACCGTTGTCATGGGGATCGGACGATGTCGTGAGGAAACACATGATATGACAAGACCTAGAGATCCGTATTGCAAAACAAGAGTTGCAGAAATATTACGATGGATCTGGGCTATTTAGGGTTGATCACGACACCGTCTAGGGTTTATCACGACACCGCCGACATTTTAGGGTTTACCACGGCACCGTTTGGGGGTTTATGACGACACCGCCGACATTTTAGGGTTTGTCACGACACCGCCGACATTTTAGGGTTTACCACGGCACCGTTTAGGGGTTCTGACGACACCGCCGACATTTTAGGGTTTACCACGGCACCGTTTAGGGGTTCTGACGACACCGCCGACGCTTTAGGGTTTACCACGGCAACGCCCAAGAACACCACACACCTGCAACAGGCCTATAGCTGTAGTGAGAAGTTTCGGCAGCTCACCGCAGAAGCAGTATAGCCAAAGCAAAAAATATCCAAGAGTTTCTTTGCAAATCTACAAAGGATGTTTATTGGATGCATAATTTCTATGCAAAATCTACAAAAGATGCTACATTTGCACTGCCAATTCTTCAAATATATGAATTGCGTCATGCACTGGTGGATTTACTTGAGCCAGCTAGAACAACATTGTAACCTTTTTTCGCTGGTAAGTGTGGGCCCCGGGGCCATGTGGCGACGGGAACCACACTTACACACACACATATATATATATATAGATTTATTTGTTTATATATAAAGTACCACCAACCCCCAAACAAATAGGTCTAATATCAACTTTCAATGTTGAATGGAATGGACTTGTCGTTTGGGGTGGCCGTAAGGTTATGGTCTGAATTTGGGAAAAGTTGTTCCACAGTCGACTACTGAATTTGGGAAAGGTTATGATATGGCATGGCCTGTTGTTTGGGAGCCCCGCAACATTTCAAAATAATGGTCTTCGTTTTCGCGTTTTGTTTTTGTGACCAACCCCATTTGATGTCCATTTGAAATTCGCGATCATCTCCTATGAAGTGAGCTGGAGCAAGTTACAACCTCAGGGTGTAAACTTCGAGTAGTATTATTTTGTGTACGACCATGGTGTTGTGCCAACACGACTTTTTTCAGGGCATAGCGGCATATCTAATAAGTGTGTCATGAGCATATGTATGTGTATATATGTAAATATAGTTACATAGATACAAGTATATATATATATATAGATATATCTACGTATATGTAACTGTAAATATATTTATATATATATATATTTACATATGCATATCTGTCTACATATATATATATATTTATTTATACCTCATTATATATAGATATATTATATATATATGCATACATAAATATCTATTTGTAGATAATTTACTTAATGTTACATCCCGCATGGTCCAATCGATCGAACTGCTTTCGGGCCTTCCGCCCCGTTTTGGCTGTAGACACTTAGTCCCTCAACGGCAATGCTGATTTAAATATATTTAAATGTCAGTTCGTGGATCAAACCCACCAAGAAAAATCATAACTTCCGAACATAAAGTAGAAGTTGACACACTACAACAGGGGGCCCAAATTCGTCACCGAAATCATCCCACATCCCTTGCAACCCTGGATAGCCATGGTGGCTTTCTGGTGAAGCTGGTTTTGCGTGGCGACCTGTTGGTCTTTGGAATCGTGGCTGCAACAGCCCTGCAGCCAACCCAGCAGCGTCAGTTCAGTGGTTTTTCCCAAAAAGGGTTCCCTATATAGTAAACATCACAAATACTGAGATAGATTTTTTGGGTGGTTATTTTTTGAATGGTGTTTACCCAAATGCGTATGGATTGAAATCTTGTTAAACTTTCTTTCTGGAGTACTGACGCCATTAAACCATTTTGGCCATGTAGCCTGAGAGGGCAACTAGGTACCGCTCTATAGTCCTTTTTTGGACCGTACTGCCGTGGCAACGGCACGCTGTTTTTTTTATGGAACCTAAAAACTTTTCATCTGACCATACGTGGTGAATTCGTGGGTTCACCCTTGTAGTCAACACATCCATGGCAACATGCCACAGGTAGTGGTGCTTTGGCCTCATTTTGAAGGCCATAACTGAATTACTCCAACACCACGACGCCAAGAATTCAGTTGACCGAAGGTGTTGGTGCAGCATCCGTGAAATTTCCTAAGCGGACAGTGCAGTAATGAGGGCCACTGGCACAAAGAATTTTTTTTCCATCCAGAAAGCGGCGTTAATGTCATAATGTTGCACTATGATCCAAACTTTTGCATATATGAACATACCAGGTAAAATATCCTTTGGGGATGTTGGCATCACCTGTGGGAGGCTGTAGGCTATATAGGAGGTGCAAATGATTTGCAACAGTTCAAAAACCAAATGACAGAATCTTCAAAGATAGCCTGCAATTTGTGGTAATAAAAAATGTTACCCAGGAAACTTGGGATGCGATATTAAAATCAAGGGGCACTGGCTTCGTCTGGGTTCAAGATTAAACCAGCATCATCCATCAAAGCCTGCGCTTTGGCCAAGGAGTGGCAGCAGAGGTTCAGCAGCTGGAGGACAAGGTTGTCCTGAGAGACTTGGCAAATGGCGGTTGGAACGGAAGGTTGCAGGTCACCGTTCACACTGGGAAAAACTGGTCAAAAAATCATAAATAGGTTCAAATCAAGAATCAGAGTTTTCTGTAAGTTGTTGCACTTTGTGGGCAATCCACCAAACCATAACCCGAATGTGGGCAGCTTTGAACCTGGAACCCAGCTCACAGTAGTCTTCAGAACCAAAGGAACCACAGTTGGTAACGCTCAAAACCCTGCGGGGCAAGTAGATCCTTGTTGATTCATGCAGACCCTTTGCAAAAGGAAAGTAGGTTTAAGAATTGGAGCACCCCAAAAGCATGCAAAGAACACCAGTAAAAATTATAAAACATACCTTGGCTTGCTACAAGGTGCTTTCGCTCCTTGCAGTCTTGTTTCATTTCCATGCTAACTCGCTTGAGGAACTTTTCATCAGACTCCCCTCCTTCATAGTGGTACCCGTAAAGCTTCAAGATTTTGAGGCAAGATGGGATGTGGTTTTTGGCTATGCCCAAGTAAACCAAATGCATCATGTCAAAGGACATGGTTTCAAACTGAAAACCCGGCACTGCACACCATGGCGACTGATGCCTTGCAGTCTGCAAGTATTCGTCGTGGTCCTTGCAAGTTGATGCATAGGGAGCGTCTCTGGCAGTGTTTTTGTAAGTCATGGGATGGGGCCGTGAATCCATTGGTTGTATCGCCATGCAACGGTCACAACATTTTTTGCAACGGTAGTATTGTTCCAACCTATGGCATTGCATCCGGGCTTTCAAGTCGGCCTTGAAAGTCATGTACACCAACCTGCAGCTGGCCAAGAGGGCCAATGACGCAAGATAGATGGTTCAGGGTTGGGCTCCATCCCAAATAGAAAACATATGAAAAAATATTTCTTTTCAAGGAGCTTGTAGCCACCTGCAATCTGTTTTCCAGACAAGCTAGACCTGTACATGTTGCTGTCAAACCTTTCGCCATAAAAACCACGGCTGGGGTAGATGCCTCGCGAAGCCCAGCTTAGACTCCATGCCACCACATCCGCTAGGGTCTTGTTGACTCCTTGTCGGACCTTGTGTTGGGCCGTGGGCACAACAATATATTGAACACAAGTCATGCTTTACCAAACCACGCAGATGAACCATCTTTCAATATATCATGCACCATTTGCCATGACGGCCATTGCGACTCACAACTATGGAAATCTTTTTTGGGGGTTGCTCCCTGAAATCAGAAAAACCAGGGAGCCCGTGTAACTTTGAGGGTGATGTAGGCACATGAGAATAAAATTCTTCAAGAACAAAATTCTTCAAAAGCCAAAGGTCTTCATCATCACTCATGTGAGATTCTGCAACCAGTGAAATAGGAAACCGGCTTAGTAGGTTGTCATTACCAGAGCCTGTTTGCAGGGCAGTAGTCCAGCTCATCACAAAGTATTCGGAATGCCTATGAAACTCAGCACCGTCTCCATGAATAGCAAAGGGTATGGCCTTTGTCAATTCCTCTTCAGACAAGTTGTGGAGAACATCATGATACTTGTAGCTGGATAGTGTTTTGAGATGCTTCCAGAAATGGGCTATGGAATCGCCACCATGGCCGCCACACATCATCGAGCGAAACTGACAGGGTTGTTTGGGTTTGTCTCAAACTTCATAGCGCACCGTACTGAAAGCCAAAAATGAAATCAATCGAAACAAATCACTATGCAGTATTTTTGGGGTCCAACGTTTGAGACAAACCGATATGATAAGGAATCCGTGTTTAAAAAAACAATGTGGCAATGTTTTCCCGGTGTTGTATGTTTATATATATATATAATATAATGAATAAGTACATCAGTCAATAAATGAACATATATATATATATGAAAATATCTATATATGTATGTGTGTGTAAGATCTTGTGGGGGTGTTCTACGACGTGGTATTGGATCTGTGCACTTCGGGATGTAGCTATGCAAGTTTAAGGGAACCACCTGCATAACCCCTTCTGGTTGGTTTTCGGAATTGCAAACTTCTGTTTTCTGAAATCATACTTTCTTGGGGTGATGATTATTGGACTTTTTGGTAGACAAATCTCTGCCTTGTGTTCCCCCATGCTATGCAAAGCACCAAATACCTCATGAGGTAGCAGCACAGATGCATCCACGATCTGAGGATCCTCGTCTCGTTCTACCTGAGCAGAGCGACTCCATTGATGGAATCTCGGCAATCGTTGGGTTGGGCAAGTAAGATGGTATACCTATATTTTAAATATATATATATATATGTATACCTATATATATATATATAGGTATACATATATATATATGTATATATATATATATATATACATATATACACATATATCTATACATATATATGGGGGGAAATCCAAGCTTTATATGAAACTATCTTGCAAAAGAAAAACGTTTGGTCGGTCTAAGGGACTTGCAATTTCAACTTGATGTTGTATGGTTGCAGTTGCAGCCCATTTGCTCCCCGCAGTAAACGTTGGAAATCCCTTTCAGTGTTTTGGCTGTGTTTCCCATGGGAACCACAGGCAGCAAGTTGCCGAACCCCATCATGGATAGGATGAGAAGCTGAATCAACTTCTACAGCCCTTGCAATTTCAGCCGCAGTTTCCACATGAGCAGAACCCCTGCCAACCATGTCAACCAGGGTGTCAAATAGTAAGCTCTGACCCGAAGAGACAGGGCCCAGTTTGCACCTTTTGGCATTGGCAGCATTGCCTGGCAAAACGGTTTTTGGAAGCAAACCACCAATGGAAAATTGTTGGGTGGTTAGAATAAATCTATACAGTGTACCCAAAAATCATGCAAAAGGGATGGGGTGTTCTCACCGAATGATACTGGGAGCTAGTGATGCACATGTCAATGATGGACACCATATGCAGTGGTAACGACAATCAACAATGGAACCACGTTAATGACATGCTCTTTCCCACTGATGCTGGATTGATTGGGATCCTTTTTTTCCGTCAGAGAAGCTCTGTCCGATGTTGAACTCCAAGTGCATGCTGTTTCAAGCATGGCTAACCCCAAGACATCTCCTTTTCAAGAGACCTAAGTTCTGGCTTTGGCCTTGGCTTTGCCTTTGGCCTTTGCTTTCTTACTCTCATTCAAGCCTTTGAGAATCCCAGACGCAGATGCCTCAGGGGGCACCGCATGAAGTATCCAATCCCAAAAAGACATAAACAAGCTAACAAATAATTCTGAATATTGTTGTCCCAATGATGTGATGTTTGGATGGAAGTCTAGGGTCCCATCACTTATCCCTGGTAGAGAAATACCATGGCTTTTAAGAAATGGAAAAGATCCCTTAAAGCATCAAAGAAACATGTTTTTATTCAACACCAAACCTCTGCTTTCTTGTACCAGTTCTGCATAGTTTCGATCTTCCCAAGGGTGCATTTGATCTTTGACTCATCAGGCGAATTCATCTCCACGTTGTTCTTTAGCTCGGTGTAAAGAGTTTCCATCCCATTCCCATGTTTGAGTAACTGGTGAGCCAACTCATCCGCGAATTGCATCCCCCTGAGCTGGATGCTCTTTTGACGGGCCTTGGTAGCCTCGTCCAGGACTGGTTGTAGAAGCTCTTTGGCATGCCCGGGCATCGCTGGATGGCTCATGCTGCAATGGGAAACTTGGAGACTGCCTTTGAAGATGCTTGGTGATAAGGAAGGATTCATTAGGGTAAAACTTTGGATGTGATAGGATGAAACCACAGAGGGCTCAGTAACAAGGGTTTCTTGCGAAAAATCAAATCAAGAAATGAAATCAGCGAGTTTGGGAAGTCATCGAAACGCAGTGCCAACCAGGGCCATGAGACATGTCCACGTTTCAGAGTCGTTTCATATCATTTCTGTTTAGGTTAGAGATCCATGACAGCAGTGCTTTGATCTGCTTTGAGATGTTCACGTGTCAGAACGGTTGAGTGACAATGACTAAAGATAGCACTAAGTTTTAATCAACTCGGCTTTGTGGAACACACCATGGTGGGAATCTGATTGGTGATGATTTGGAAACCCATTTCAAGATCAACCAAAACATTTCAGTGAATTACCTGTTGGCTATCATTTGAGGCCCCGACTCTAGGACAGTCTTCGGTGAAATCTTTTCAGCTTCACCTGGCTTGGCCCTTTGCTGCCGCTTGGGTTTCATCACCTGCTTTCCATCATCATCCAAGGCACTCAAGACTGCACGCTGGCCAGCCTCTGATGCAGCCTTCACCGCAGGCAAGGCACCAGCCGGGAGGATGCCTCCCTCTTCAGCTGTCAGGGCATTGAACAGCCCCTGATCAAGTTTCTTTGTAGCCTTTGTTGACACACTCTCGGATACCAACTCATCCTGCCTCAAGAGACGACCTTTGGGCATGTAGATCCAGTTCTCCTGCGCCGCAGGGCAGTTCAAATAATGTTGGAAGAGCCCCTGAAGTTCATTAGATAGTTATAAACTTTTGAACTCTGTTTTACAAAACCATTGAAAATAAACATTTGGGAACCCCAGTCCATGGGATCAGACGGGAAGTCCAAATCCTGGTAGTAGAGACCTGCATCGATTCGCTTCTTGATAAGTTCATCAAACTTTGACTGCTCCATCCCCGCTTTGAGTGTTTTGGCCTGTACGGCAACCCACTCGGACCTAGCCAAGTTTGTGCTCTCAGCTCTCCTTTCTACTTCACATTGGACCCGATCCCAATCCTCACCGAAATCCAACCATAGCCCAAACAAGTCCGTCTTCTTTTTACGAAGAAGAGGTTGAAGTCCTGTCGGGAATTGGCCTCCCTTCGTCTGTCGGTCGAAGCGGTCCCACTCGCGTTTATTGGTCTTGCCTCGGCTGGGAAATGATGTTGAGGAACAATAGTAAAATACAGATGCAAAGAGCCTCAAACCAGTGGTAATGGTTGATCAAGCAGTTGTAGTGGTCAGCAACAAAGACCGACAGGATAAAGTCTATCTAAGTGTCTTTCAGATCATGATAAATCATGATAATACTGGGCTATATCTTGTGCTGGAATGGAGGATCACACCCCTTGACGTTCGTACAAGTTGCTGTTTCTGGTGGTGTTGGCAATTGCGATCTGCAAGGCTTCATCTTTGGCTTCATCTTTGGCTTTCTGGTCTTCATTTTCTTTGCTCTTCTCCTCAGCCTTTCTGCCTTCTTCTTCTCCATCATCTTCACTGGAGCTTGGATCAGAGGCCGCCTCATCTTCAGTACCCTCAAAAACCGAGTCATCATTCGAATCACCACCATCACTCATGTCTCCATCCTCCTGAGCCTCATCATCATCATTATCATCACCCTCCTCTGCTTCTTCTTCTTCTTCTTCCTCATCAACCTCTGCTTCTTCTTCTTCTTCGCCTTCCTCGTCCTCCTGTGCTTCATCTGCTCCTTCCTCTGCAGCTTCATTGCCCTCATCGTTGGTTTCCTTTTTTTCTGCACGTAGTTCTTCAAGCAAACCTTCCATGCTCATGCCAGCACAGTCCAAGTGGGCATTTTCCTCAGCCTCTTTCACTGCTGCACTCAAGCCACGCCTCAACTTCGCGAAGTGGGCCTCGGCCATATCCTTGGTGGACTGGTAGCGAGTGGAGGTGGCATCAGTATGGACACTGGAAGAGCCACTGGCAGTGCTTTCAGTGGGAGATTTCATGCGAAGCCTCTTTGCAGGTGGCGTTGTGGGTGCGGGTCCTGGCACACTTGCCTTCTTTAACTCGAGTGCTAAAGCCCTTTCCTTTTCCTCCTTCTCTTTTGTCTTTTCGGCAGCCTCCAATGCCTCAGCATTCTCCTTCGACTTGTTACCTGCTTTTGTGGCCTTGGTGCTATCACCTGGCTTCTTCCGCTCTTTTCCTTCCTTCTTCTCTCCTTTCTTCTTGTCAGCAGACTTTTCATCCTTAGACCTCTGGTCTGTAGCACTCTCGCCCTTTGTTCTCTTCTCCAAAGGCTTCTGGTCTGTAGTCTTGTCCTTAGACTTCTTCTCCTTATCCTTCTTGTCCTTAAGCTTCTTCTGCTGCTTCTTGTCCTTTTCCTCCGTTGCCTCTACCTCTTTGTGATCTTTCTTCTCCTTCTTGCTTTTCTCTTTGTTGCCTTTCTTATCTTTCTTCTCTTTCACACTGGAAGTGGCCAAAGCATTGGCACTCTTTGCTCGCTCAAAAACCTCGGCCTGAAGCAAGTTGGCATCTTCCACCTTCTGCGAGTTGCTCTTGGGGACAAGCAGCTTGGTGTCGCTGGACACTTTGCTACTAGGCTTCCGTAAAGCTGACTTGCGCACTTGGGACACGGGTTTCTTTTGACTTTTCTTCGTTTTTGCCATCCCAGCCACACTGGGACAGCAGCTGGAAACACCCCGTACAAAACCCTTTGAGCAAAAAAATGCAAAGCATACGTAGTTTTTTGAATGATTCTCCAGATCGCAATAGGTCGCAACAAATCGCACGAGAATCTCTCCAGATCGCACTAGTGAGTTTTACAGTTTTGCATCATTTTCTGCATAAAAGGTAACATGTTCACACGGTTAGCACACTGTTTGTAAATTTCAAGCTCTGAAAGTTTTAGGGGTCAAGATCCACCCCACCTACCAGTCCTGGCCTCTGTTGCTACCGCTTCTTTTGAGAACCAATCGTCCCATTTTATTGACCTGCGTGCGTTGGGGCACTGACAATGTCTTTATCAGCTTGCATGGTTATGGGCTGGGATATGTTGAGATCATTCAGTGGGCAGTTGAAGGCTAGACGCATAGAAATTCCTAGCAAAAGGATCCAGCACATGTTGAAAAGGAACTTTGAAAGTAAAGATGGTATGGGAAAGCCTGACATTTTTTCTCCATTTCCCCTAAATGTAAGCCTATGGCTGAACGAACTGAATTTTCCGTGTGGGTATTCCACATCACCTAAATTGCAATGGGACCTCTTGCGCTTTCACACAAGGATCACTGGTTGGCCAGATAGGCAAAAATAGGTTGCAGGTTGGCATGTTCCATCCAGAACCTACTCACTTTATCATCCATATCCAAACCCTGGCCAGCAGCAAGCGCATTGCGCAGGAAACGATGTGCCGCCCGACGCTTGGACTTGAGGTAGCGAGACCGGACCCTGGCAACAGCACGGCCAAACCTTGGCAAGGGCAGGTGACAACATGTTAAAACAACAAGGAATCCATTTTTGGGGGCTCAGGTTGAGGAATGGTTGAGATATGGCCTGCTATGGCTCTGTATGCTACAATTGTTTTGATTATTTGGATATTAAAGCCAGCATACAAAAATAATGAAGAACATACCCTGATAGATCCAAAACACTTCATTGGGTATGACTGTGAAGCTTTGAGAGCTTTGCCTCCTTGAATACGAGCTTTGCCTTGTGAGTCGGTGTAGTGCCGCACCATCAGTGGGTTTGAAGGACGAAGGGATCTGTCAGCGAAATCGTTGAACTCAGTTACCTCTGGCTCACCTTGGGCAAGGAGGGAATGGATAAGAAGCAATCTTGTTTGTGGTAACCCCTCACGACAGTGTTTTCCAAACAAGCGCATGGGGCACCAACAACCACTGGAACATGGGTGGAATCTGGAATGTCAAATGGACTTCCTCAACTTGAAGACTGGTTGATGTAGAAACCAAGTTCCTCGAAATGGGATCAGCTGTTGTCTTGTCATGTCTTTTCACAAGCTGAGGCACTGCTGTAAACCCAAACAGGTTTCATTGAATCTGCGCCAAAATGGCCAAGACTGCAGCAGACTCGTGACACCGAGACATGTAGTAGACCAAGCATACGCTGAAACAAGACATGGCCTTCCAAGAGGGATCCCTTTGGTTGCTCTAAGCACCACCAAATTTTTTTGGCCATGGCTATGACCAGCAAGCAAACAACGCGCCCCACCATTATGTTGTGGAGTCCTGTCACTCCTTCTCCATGCCCCATCGGATTGCTGGATGTTCGGCCAGTGCTGCCACGAGACCTTAATGGCCGCTTAAGGTCCAACAAAACCTTGGGTTGCTAGATCAACCCAGCAAACTACAAATGGACTGCTAGATCAACCTATCAAACCTTCCCAAACTCAACAAATAGACCAATGTAATGCAAAGGATCAAGTACACCCACGTACTGCATACTGGTGCAGCCCATAATGCGGCACCAGGCCGCAAATTAAGCACGTGAAACAACATGTTGCTGAACCCTGCATCGGTCATGATGTCCTGGTGCTTTCCAAAGCGGATGTCCATCGGAGTAGAATGGCGGCTCTCCTGTGCAACAATCAGGCTGCTACAAGGTAAAGAGGAATCCAAGACCCGTTGTTGAGGAGAAGATGGAACAAATATGATTGTTGAAGACTCATGGAGTCCAACTGCTGTTTCTTTTTCACGGTTTTCAAACATGTGACACATGCTTAGAATGGAATGCTGGCCTCAACAAGTAATCCCCGATCCACATAAACCATGGCAGGCCATCGTTTGGGATTTGGGCTGGGGTTGACATTTCACATCGGTTTATAGTACCAGAACAGAATCAATCTGAAGATGGATGTTTTCCGGGGCATTCAACCTGTGAAATTTTTTCAAGGGTTTGAAATGGTGGCTCCAAAATTGGGGCAATCCAGTAGAAGCTGTGAAACACATTCCAACCTTAAGATGAAACCCTAAAGGGCTCCAAAATTGGGGCGAAATTTAAGGTTTGGGGGCCCACAGGAAACAAGCTGGTCGAATGAAATCATTTCTGATGTTGGGGACCAATCTTCATTCCAAAAAGACATATAACTACACCCTAAAGTTTGTTCTGAAATTTTATGAATCATCATTTCTTACTGATTATAAACCCCTGTTGGTATTTAGTTGGATGGGCCACTAAATGTTTTTAGTCCGAAATGTTGGGCTTTGTAGTCCTTCCACTCTCCACGGGTTATGCTGCAGTCACCAGCAAACAATTCCACGGAGTCTTGAGGAGAGTTCCAATCCAACCCAGGGCAAGCAAACATCGCTGAAACCAGCATCACTAGGACCTGCCAGCTGCGAAACTGGCAATTTTCCTGTTTCAGCGGTCCGCCAAATGGACCCCACCAAGTCCCATTCATTTCCCCAAAAACTCAGGTTTTAGAACCTTTTTAAGAGACTTGGTGGGGTCCATTTGGGGGCCCGCTAAAACAGGAAAATTGCCATGCGAAACTAGCACCAAATATATGTTGCGTTTTTGTACAAGAACCATTTGTTACTATGAAGCAGCTTTAGAATTCCATGGATGAAATTTCCCCAAGTTTGGAACTTTTTGAATCTAAGGATTTGGAAACCCGGGCCCATGGAGCACGAAGAGCCCGAAGGCCGGTCACGGTGAAAGCCCTTTGCTTGCCCCTCCAAGTAGTAGGAGGCTTGCGCTTGCCAGCCCCACCATATGGCATGCTTGCGCTGGCTGCACGGGCCCTAATAGGGATTCCTTTCCCCATGACTCACTCACACGGAGTTGGCCAGAACGATCTCTTGATCCAATCCTTCCATGATGGGTGAAAGTTGGTGCAAATGGCCTTTGGTTTTTCTACATGACAAGTTGTAAACACAACCTACCTCCTACCCCACAAATTGGTGGTTTATGGTTTGGCAAGATGAGAACATTGATCCGACACCGCGCAAGGCGGTTGGCTGGCACCTATGGCTTTGCAACTTCTTTGCTTTCTCCTGGCGCTTCGATTGCCGTGGACAATGGTTTGCAACTGCACCCAGCATTTCAGCAGTGGAGTGTGGTATCCGTTTTATGTATGCATATAGCGTATGTATTTATCCATCTATAAATGTGTACACTTATATTATTTAGTATTATATATATATGTATGTATGTATGTATGCATGCATGCATGTATGTATGTATGTATGTATGTGTGCATGTATGCATGTATGCATTTATGTCTATGTATTTAACTGTAAATCTACATCTACGCATATATATATAACTATATTTATTTAAGTATGTTGATTTCAACTTCAACAGTCTGGGATTTCAATATGTTGATTTCAACAGTGTGGGATTTTTGGGCAACTGTTTGCCAATAACAACTTACAGGGGAAAACTGTTCGGGTAAGAGGTTCTCAAAACACAGGCATGTCACTGAACCAACCAATCCCATAAACAATAGCCCACAAGCCTCTAGCAAGTTGAACGTAAGGGCATCCGGGCACCCCACTGTCCTGCAGTGGAAAAGATTGAGAAGATCAACTCTATTTTCAATTAGCGAGATCCCTATATACTTGAGCGAGAATATATATATATATATATTTATTTATTTATGAATATATATATATTGTTTTTACTTTGGTGATTCTTGACAATTCCCTGTACGAATGCTGTAAACATGTGGAACATGCCCAGTGTCCTCCTGGCTTTCGTGGAGCTGAATGCCACCTGCCATCAGTAGAAAGGTTTTGAGTTCGTGGCGAATTAGGATTGGAAATAAAATTAAGATTGTGGGATGCTGGGACACACCTATGATGATATGTATTAGCGAAAAAGACACACATGACGAAATATGTTTTTTGAGATCTCTTGGAATTGCAAAACTCACACACCCTGTGGCCTCCAGAGCGGTTTCAACTTGGATACCCCGAAGATGTTGAGGTCGAATCACCTGCGCAGGGGGAATGGGAGAAGTATCTGAGGATTGGCAATCTGCAGATGGAACATTGCGACGCTGGCTATTGGCTATACTACACAATCTGGTTCTGGCATAGCGATGGCAACTTCGTCTGCAGGACTGCCTTTTTGGTGTTGTCCGATTGGGGTGGCTGGCTACAAGCTGAAGGATTGATCTTTGGAACTGCCCAGGTGGCAGCTGAAACCAGCTGAAGCACAGTCAAGGTTCCCAAGCAAATGCTTGAAGTCTAGACTCTACACCTTTGGATTTCCAAACGACAAAATTAAAATCATTTTCAAGTCAGAAATAATTGGCTCCAACTGCGCTATCCTGAGAGGTTTCCATTGAGACACGTATGCACTTCTGATTTCAAGAAGTGTTTTAACCCCTGCACTCCGGTATATGAATCATATACAGAGTCTTCCACGAAACCAAACCATTGAGCTATGTAGCCGCATTGGGCCAGCAAGCAGCTTTCCGAACAACATCCCAACATTGGCTCACCCCGCCATGCTTTGACCATGTGTATTGGCCCTTCACACCAGCATGGTCCTCCTCCTTGCTGCCTCCCCCAACCCGCTTCACCACGAAAGCTTTGGACTTCAGGAGAACTTCGATTGCCTCAGCTCACAGATGAGGCAAGCAAGTCAGGGTTGTGAATCCACCCAGGTAATGTATCGTTTGGGGTATATAAATTTTGTGAAACACTTTACCAGGTAGAGTGCGAGTCACACCACCATTGGAAGATCTGAGTGTGTATCCATGCTGTCCATTGTTTTTTCTGGGCTGTGGCCATGATTCCTGCGGTAAATCACAAAGACTGTAGCCTTTGAAAGAAGCCTCACCATCCTTACTTCCACTGGGTGTAGCTTTTGACTTCGGCTTCTTGGATTTCGGTTTGTCAGTGTCCGGGATTTCTGGGGCCCCATTTGCTTCTTGTTGCCGAGCACGCTTGATCCCATTAGCCTCAGAGCACACAAAAGGGTTGAATGGTAAATCCATATTTTACATGTATCATATCAATATCAAATTGAATGTAGATGTTTGTTCATAGATTTGAAATCATATCAAGAAAGGGCATCTAGCTCGCTAGCTGCAAATTTTCCACTTCGGTTGATCCCCAAAAAAAGGCCCCCACAAGTCCCAAACTCTTTCATAAAATGCAGGGAAAACATTGTTTTTGGGGAACCAACCTAAGTGGAAATTTACCATCGCTAGACATGCAACATAGAAAAACAACATTTTCTGAAACAGACAAACAACCGTTTGCATACCAATGGGAGGCGGTGTAAGATTTGACTCCAAAGCCTTCTCCAAGGTTTTCAAAGCAGCAGGTGGTGTCTTAAGTTCTGGTGTCTTCCCACTGGGCTCCCCCGTGTAGCGATCCCGTTCACTCCCTTCGTCGAAAGCATTCTTCCTCATGAGGTGGTGCAAGTGGTCAGTGCTCTTGGCCTGACAGAAAAACAGCTAAGGTTTCACAACGGCTGGAAGAAACTCAGGAAACAAAATACCACGATAAATTCTGCAGGAGCTGCAGCAGACATACATGTGCAATCTTGAACTTGACGGTCTCAACAATGAAGGTCAAAATTGGGAGGGAGGATTCAAACTGAAACCAGAAAGACAGATAGTTGAAAGGCCTCAGGTTTCTCAGGCTTCTTGTGCTCCTCCATTGCCATCACGGCATCCGGGCAAGATTCAACCAACTCCTTGGTGTCCTTTGGGCTCAACACCTGCAACAAGTTGCAGGCTCTGGTCAATTTTGGAAGGGCAGAGAAAATACCTATGAACCCAAACAAAACATTAAAGTCCAATCCATTAACAAATATTGGTTTTTGTGTGAGCTATACCCACCTTGTTTCCTCGGGCTTCGTACCGAGCTAGCCAGGCTTCCCAATGGTCCCTGGTTGATAGCCAATTGGTGGCCCTCACCCCAAATCGTGCGTACGCCCACTCACAATGGTCCATGTAGTCGACCACATTGGGGCTCCTGGATTGGCAGAGGGCCGGGGAACATGTAATGCAAACCCAAGTGCCCATTCAACTAAACCGGAAACAAAATCAACATATATAATGTAACGTGTTTTTTACGGCCAATATCAAATGAGGAACTTCACAATGTCCGGATGGTTGGCTCCAAAGTACTGCATCAACGCCATGCACATCTCAACGATTTCAGCGCGACGTGGCTCTGAGTTTCCAAACCTAGGTGTTGTAAAGAACTCCTCATTCCATGAAATCTTGCGGTCGGGGGTGTTGATGCTCTCAACGTCGGAATCAGAAGACTCTGATTGGGTAGGAGCTGGGTTGGGTTGGCTGTCATCAACCTCCATGGGGTCTTGGTCATCCATTTCATGCTGGTCCCGTCCAGGAAGAATCAAAGTTTCTTGGCTATCGCATTGGGGCTCAACATCATCAACATGTGAACCAGGTCCAGGCTCCCCTTCATCACCTGACCCTGATCCATCCGAACCCTGATCACCTGCCGACTCCATGTCCGATGACTCACCGTCCTTGGCACCCTCCAACCCATCACCCTGGTTGTCACTTCCCGACTCATCACCCTGGCTGTCACCATCATGGCTTTGAGAATCGGATTGGTCATCTTCTTCTTCTTCTTCTTCGTGTTCTGAGTCCGCTGGTTGGGCTGCCTGAACAGGAATGACAAACGGTTTCCAAATTGTTTTACAATACTGGGTCGGCTTAAAATCATATTAGAACTGGGCCACATTAAATTCATAGAGCAAAAAACTTGCAAGGGATCCTTCAAATCCAAAACACAACCAGATTTTGTGAATCATGGTCCCAACCCCCGAAGCCTTTCCGCGTGTAGGCGAAGGGAGTAAGTAACCTTTCATCTCTGTGATGCGAGGATGGCTACCATTGGTACCTCATGTCGCTGCTGCACAAACCATATATTGGGGTAAATTCGTCAAAAAGGTATGGATACGTCATCACCTAGATAGCAAACAGTGCCAATAGGTAAAAATATCTTAATTTTCGACAATTTGCATGTGCTTCTCCACAGCCCCCTCAAAGCTCCGATACACAACTTCACCTTCTCCGCCTCGTCTGTAGCTAGGCTTACTTTACTCTCACCAGCATCTTGGGGTATCAGTAGTCGACCCTGGAACGTCTTGTCCATGTAGAGGAAAACATCTGTAAGAAAGAATTGGGAAGGGATCTGGGACCGGAACTTTCTGACAAAAGGACAGATCCAACAGTAGTTGAGCACAAGGTCATCAGCTTTGGGTTTGCACACAGTGTTCTCCAGCTGTACCAGGGCCCCTCCCACCCAAGAAGACGAATCCACAACTTGGACAACGCTGAGTGGTAGATTTGCTCTCAAGCTAGAAGACATAGACCGGACATCAGCGAAGTTCCATGGGATCTTCCCAGGTCCTTAGAGGTGCTGGTAATTCAAATTGTCAGAACAAAAAACACACACAACAACATGGGTCACACTTTCAACCGCGGCTACTGCGAACTTAAAAAAAATACTTCCGACAATGAAGTTGGATCTAGAAACTGACACTCTTCCATGAATCCATGGCAGTAGGCAAGGGCCCGCTCATGAGAAAAAACGGGTCTAGCTTGACCTTTGCTGGAAACCGGTTGCCCAAATGGCTACAAAACAGTTTGTTTGGATCATGTGCAGAATCGTTGATGCAAACATATCAAATGGCTTAGCACCCCAGTGGTATCGAAACTATATCCTGGTGATCTATTTATATATATATATAGATACATATATATATATATACACATATGTATATGTATAACTGTACTCTGTCAGCTAGCCCACCCAATGCAGCTGGCAAGGGGGTGATGCACCTGGCCAGGAGCTGCGCCATTCGCCAAATCGCCAAAGAGCTATCATTGACCAGCGTCGAGAAAATGCTGGCTGGAGTTGGCAGGATTACACAGGTGTTCTGAAATGGGAACTTAATGCCACCAGTGCTAAATATTTTACGACTGACATTGCGATTCATTTGCAAGCAAATTTCGGTCGGAACCCCTTGCTAGGTTTGTATTGATTTGCAAACGGAGAAAAAATTGTTTTCTGGTGACTAGTCTGGGAAACACTAAAAAAATACTGAGATACAGCCATAATGGCTGCCAAGCGCAGCAAGTTTCCCACCACCGGTCTGTCAAGATGCAGCAGCCTTTTAAATAATACATCTCCAATTGTTTGGTTTGTTTCGGATACATCTCCTCGGTGGCATTTCCACCATTTCCCAACAACAAATAACATTTCCAGGGTTGCTCCTACATGTAAGGAAAAAACGTATGAACACACGCCTGCGTGAAATTTCTTTCTATCCTTGTGAAGATGAACGGATATACACACACACATATATATATACATATTTAAACATGCATGTGTGTATAAATATGGGAAATACATATACAATGCCATAAGTATATTTATATATACACATATGCTTTGTGGATAAGGGTTCCCTGGTTTGTGGGCTGATGGTCGCCAAACAAAGTCCCCGACATCAAATTTCAAAGGTAAAAGTGGTTCCTGCATGCACTGATATAAATACATAAATAAATAAATATATATATATGTGTGTGTATATTTATTTTTATTTATATATATATATATATGTATATTCTATTTTTTTTCACCCGGAGCGTTAAAGAATCAAGGCAGCCGGAAGCTGCCTTGACTACTATAGTCAGTTTGTGCTGGTGTCAACACTGCACATCGCTTTTTGGGGTACCGCAAGAAGCATTCACCTGCATAGCACTCAGTACGTCAGTGTTTTCTTGGTGCTTGCTGTAGCTGCTAGCATGTTGTTCCTCACAACATCGTTCGGCAACAGGAGACATGTAACGTTGCTAAAAGCCAAAACGTTGCTCAAAGGACACCATGGGAGCGTCTAAGTAGTAGTAGTAGTAGTCGTCGTCGTCGTAGTAGTAGTAGTCGTAGTCGTAGTCGTAGTAGTAGTAGTAGTAGTCGTCGTCGTCGTCGTCGTCGTAGTAGTAGTAGTAGTAGTCGTAGTCGTAGTCGTAGTAGTAGTAGTAGTAGGAGTAGTAGACATACGAATGACTTGGAAGACATACGAATGAATTGGGCTTCAATTTTTTTTTGGAAGACATACGAATGAATTGGAAGACATACGAATGAATTGGAATACAAACGAAGGAATTGAGATGCAGACTTTTTTTTCGAATACATATGAATGAATTTGAAGACACACGAATGAATTGGGGTTCAGCCTTTTTTTGGGGGGGAAGACTTACGAATGAATTGGAAGACATACGAATGAATTGGGGTTCCGACTTTTTTTTGGGGAGAAGACATACGAATGAATTGGAAGACATACGAATGAATTGGAAGACATACGAATGAATTCGGGTTGAGTTGAGACCTTTTTTTCTTTGAAGGCCTTCGTTCGTATCTAAGGGCAATCATTCGTATGTGGGGCTCCTTTTTTTTTTCCGTTTTAACTTGCCTATGTACTAAAGCCCTTCATTTCTCTCATTTTCGCGGCGGGGCCAAAGGGCGGCCGGCAGTACCCCCCTCCCCCCCGAACCATTATTATTATTTCGCGGAAATAATAATTAAATTGATTTCGATTCATTATTATTTTTTTCCGCGAAATAATAATAATCATCGATTTCGCTTCATTATTATTATTTCCGCGAGATAATAATAATGAATCGAAATCGATTCATTATTATTATTTCCGCGAAATAATAATAATGGTTCGGGGGGGCTACCCCCCCCCAAATGAATTGGAAGACATACGAATGAATTGGGCTTCAATTTTTTTCCGAAGACATACGAATGAATTGGAAGACATACGAATGCATTGGAATACACACAATGAATTGGGGTTCAGCCTTTTTTTGGGGGGGAAGACTTACGAATGAATTGGAAGACATACGAATGAATTGGGGTTCCGACTTTTTTTGGGGGAGAAGACATACGAATGAATTGGAAGACATACGAATGAATTGGGGTTCAGACTTTTTTTTGGAAGGCATTCGTTCGTATCTAAGGGCAATCATTCGTATGTGGGGCTCCTTTTTTTCTTTTTTTTTTCCGTTTTAACTTGCCTATGTACTAAAGCCCTTCATTTCTCTCATTTTCGCGGCGGGGCCAAAGGGCGGCCGGCAGTACCCCCCTCCTCCCCCCGAACCATTATTATTATTTCGCGGAAATAATAATAATGAATCGATTTCGATTCATTATTATTATTTCCGCGAAATAATAATAATCATCGATGTCGCTTCATTATTATTATTTCCGCGAGATAATAATAAACTTTTGTTATTGTAAAAAAGCCCTTTCCTTTTATAAAAGGTCCCTGAACTGAACACTTCAAAAAACATATTACAAATATTTTGTACCAAAAAAATGAGCAAACATCAAGTTTTTTTTGGGAAAATTGTGGCACACAAAAGTTGGATATCAAACAATTAGTTTTTTGGAAATTGTGTTGCATAGTTTTGATTTATTGGGCCGTTCTTTTGAACATGTCCGAAAAAGTCAAACGCGATGAAAAATTTACTGAGAGTATGTCCGAAACTATGTGCGCAGTGAGAGTGGCAGCGTCAAACCAAACTCTGAAGATTGTTTTTGGTTGCTTTTGTTGTCCAACCCGTTTGCAATTTTCACAAGAAACAATAACATGTTCCACGTGAAGATCATGGCTCAAGGTTTCCAACTGTTGCACCTGTTGCACTGTGAGAGTGCTGTAGGTAAAGTTTTGACCCTATAAATTGTAAAGGTTTTCTGCCTTTGCCCAGCGTCCTGTTGCGTGTGGAGCCTGAATGGGTGAAATGGGAAAGAGAGAATAGGGGGGGGGCAGGGCGGCCAGTTAAATGCCATTTTTGGAAACGTTCAAGGCTATTAAACGTTTGGTTTGGGGTATGCACAAAGATTGAAAGCAACATCTAGGATGTGGTATTTGGAGATTCAGCCATTCCAAATCCAGTGCACTGTGAGAGCTCCTTTTGTAGCGTTTTCTCTGGGAATGTAAGGAGTGACACTGTTTGTAACAACGCATTGCTACCTTGAAGGACTCAAGTTATGTTTGCAGTCAAAAAAACAAATGTTTTAAAACAAATGCACTGTGAGAGTGCAGTTACCAATCTACCGTTATTGCCTTGATCTTCCTCAGTGCGGAGCCTGAGTTTTGTTGGGTTATTGTTGTTCAGGCATGTGAACCATCAACTAGTTTGAATATGTTTGAATCTAACTGGCACTGTGAGAGTGCTTTGTTTATTGAATAAATTCCCCTGGGTCAAGGTTCTGTTTTGAACATGGCACACTTTGCTTTAACGTGACGTAACTTAAGGTCGAAACATGTCCCACGATGTAAACCATGGTGGAACCATGGTGGAAGGGAAAGTGTTCTGAACAGTAATTAAACTATCTTCCACTAAGAGTATAGTAAGCTCCGTTCAATTTGCAAAACAAAGCAGTGGTCATCTCAGTGGTGCAGTGCAATGCTATGTTCATTGGATTTCTCCATGATTTGGTGATGTTTCTGTGGAAAAGATCCAAGCCTGCCTGGATCCTATAATATGAAGCCAGGATGTAAATGCATATGTGTATCAACCTGTATGTTAATATATCACATATGTATTATTACATAAATATATGCATATCATAAATGTACTATATATATATGTAATGACGGATATGATCAATTGCATACATGTCGAGCGTCTCTCAGGACTCAGGTTCATCCACTTCAACGTCCGGATCCATTTTAGTTAATATAGAAACTTGTGGTCGCTGTGAGAGCGATGCTAAGGCCAGGCAGGACTGACAGACCAGCACTGTGAGAGTGCGGCTGTCAGGTGCACTGTGAGAGTGCTGATTTCTGATCATTCTCAAGGCGGTGGTAACAAACTCAGTCTGGCAAGCTCAGTCCAGGGAGCCTCCTGCTATGATAATGGTTAGAAGCTACTAGCCACTAGGCAGCTGTTGTGATACAGAGAATGCAGAACACTTCAAAAGTTAAATTTTTAGTGGGTCGACATTTTTGAAGTCACAATAAGTGATTTATTGGATGGCAAAAGGCTAAACCTTTCATTCAATTTCAGGACCCTGATGCCAGCTTCCTTAACACTAGACATAGACTTCAAAGATCGCACAACCCCATTCAGACAGACATGGCTATGTGACAGACCATTCAATGTTAAGAATGGGCAGCCAAAAGCTTCATCGTTCGAATTCATTGTCAATGCCACCCGAAAAAAAAAATCATTGAAACGTCAGGTTTTCAATCAAGTATATATATATATATTATATGCACATATACATATATAGATATATATGTATATATACATATATATATATATATATATCATATATATATACATATATATATA